TCTCCGCTTCACTTCCTGTTCCTTGTTTGGTTGTGGGCTTGGAACGGATTCACCTAATCTATTATCTATTCGATTTTATATATATATATATATATATATATATATATATATATATATATATATATATATATATGTTCAATATACATTAAGTCATCATAAGGGTACCAGGTACATAGTTTTCTAGTACAAAACCTACTTTCCAAATCAGAACTTTTGGTATACAAAACTAGAAACTTCCCAGTAAAGGGAACCTCTCTCAAGGTTTGGTCAAAACATCGTGTTGAGTATTTGAGATATTGAAACTGATTTGACATATTTGGTTATTTAGGGAAGCCTTTTTAGGGTTAATCATTTTATGATTCCCTACGGTGCCTTTATAGTAGAAGTTCTTAATCGAGCTCTTCTAAGGCATTGATTTTATATTAAGGCATATATTTTATATTTATGGTATATATTTATTGTTCCCTATAAATAATCATTAGGTTAGCTTTTGGGGTAAGCTTTTTACCAGATTAGGGTTTTTCTCTGTACGTTCATGTTATAATCAAAATACACAAAACCTTTATCATATTACTTGCATATGATGGTGATTGATTCTTGATTGTTCTTGATATTCCGCATTCGTCATCTCGGATTTATTCCCAACAAGTGGTATCAGAGTGGGTTCTTGTAGATCTCAGCGATTTTTGCAATAATCGATCTTGTTTATGGCGATATTTTATCATGAATCTCACCTTGTTCTTCAAGTTTTGTAAGTTTTCTGAAAAGAAAAATGCTAATATCTCGTTTCATTGCAAAATCTTGTTCAGATTTGTTATCTTCTACTCATTATTTTATTTGATTCGTTCTTGAATCACGTTAGAAGAAAATTTTCGTGTTTATTTGAATTTTTCGTGTTCAGATCCACTTTTTCTCTCTAAAATCTATCTCGGATCTGTTTTCTCTCTCTAGAAACCATCTCAGATCCGTTTTCTCTTTCTAGAATCCTTATCAGATCTACTTTCTCTCTCTCCAAGTTCTATCATTTGTTGAAGATCTAATGGATCTTTTATTCTGTAACTCCATTTTAGAACTTGGATTAAAGGTCACTAAACTAATCTATGGTGTTAAAAAGGGACTTTGTTTCATGTTCTTGGTGATTTTACGTTGAGGGATGTTACTGAGTTATATAATTCTTTTGTTGATGAGAAAATAACTGAATACTCTCGTGTTAATGAACGTGAATTACAAAAGAATGAGAGAGTAGTAGACCAATTTCGTATTATATATGAACATTTAAATCGGGAACATAAACAGATGTTGGAGATGAAAAGGGCTGAAGAAGAAAAAGAAGAAGTTCATCATGTTCTTAGTGAAGTTCATGATGTTCCACATGTTTCTGAAGAAAAGATGACTCCAGATGTTCTTGTTGAGGGGGAGTCAAGTGGTTCATGTTTTTCAGAAGAGTTACATTCCGAATCTGGTACTTCAGAAGACGAATCTCAAAAAAATTCATCTGAAATCATGAAAGTGAAGACATTCTGTTCTATTGGAACTCAAACAGATGATTCTTTATGTTCTGAAGATGTTTTTGAAGGAATGATTCCTTACAGAAAGCCAATGCTTCAAGAAATTCAGATTTATCAAACTCCAAAAGTTTGTATGTCAAAGTCCTATAATGTTCAAATTCAGAATGGTGAAAAGGTTGTTCAAATGCACAATTTGTTTTTGAAGGTTCTTGACTTTAGGGTGTGAACCATTAGAGGTACTCTACTTTGGGTACTAGTCTTTCCACGAGCAACAAGAGATCAAAGGAATCAAGCTTCAAGGACAAATCGATTTTGTCAAAAGGTTAGTGTTTCGATCCTTTGTTTTTTAACTTGTTAGGTTAGTTTTAAAAGTATATTGCTATAATAGTAAAACTTAGATCAGAGGGAGCATGTACACTTAGGATGAATTTTGAATGCTTTCGATGCCTTAATCTAGTATATAGTTGCACAAAAAACCCAACAGTGGTATCATAGCTTAAGTTTTTGTTATATACACAAGATTTAAAATTGACAAAAATCATAAAAGAAGCCTGTGAATCGTAGGATGCAGCGCACCCTACCAACTTTTTGTGATTTCAGATTTTTTCAATTTTTTCAAATTTAGGATTTCTTTTTATTTTTAATTATTATCTAATCCGTTTAAATCTGATTAATTAAAATAGGAAGATAAATATGCCTACTTGATTTGAAGATATTGATGATGATTTAAAAAAATAATCAATTAAAAGTCAATTAAATATAATTAGATTAAATCATATAATTTTAAATTGTTTAAAATCACCCCTCGTATAATTGTAAAAGTTTATAAAAGAATATGAAATTTATATCTATGTAATACCTTATTATATGTAAAAGAAAATATTACAACATGTGCCCTCACATGTTTAATTATTGATCGTTAATCGAATCAAGACTAGGCCTCATTCATGAAGCCATAGGCAAATGTATTGAGAAACCCCACAATTCTATCTAGTTACTTTTGATTAAAAACATACCGAACTAAATTCATTAATTCGTGCAAAAAAGTCTGAAATATCACTTTCCCATTTTACCCTTTGGCTATAAAACATAATTAAAGAGCTTAAATTATTTAACCAACATTATCAACATTCAATAGTGTCTAAACTATATTCCTTTGAAGCCCAAGAGTTTTACTTGATCACACTACGACTCGAAATCCTAAAATAATAAACGTTTCGAAACTAGATGTTATAGTGAGTTTGAGTGTCAAAATTAACACATGAGAATATGTATAGGTTTGTGAGTAAGTATGGTTATGTAGATTTAATAATAATAAAAAAAACATTCAATTTTTTCTTAAAATAAAAAACTTCAATGTATTTTAGAATTTAGATAGTATTATATAATAAAAACACATAAAAAAACTAGCGTATATGAAAATAAAACAAAAACCTAAACTAATTTAATCATGTAAGAATTTAGAGATGATTAATTTTAAAAAACAATAAATTTTATTATCAGTCTATATTATAATAAATAAATAAAATCCTGAAAAAAATAATAATTTAATATCAAAGAAAAGCGTTAAAAAATAAATTAAATTACAACATAAGATATTATAAACAAAAAACATTAAAAAAAATTGTCTTCAAACGAATCGTAAAAAAACCTTGTATTTAAACAAAACTTAAAAAAACATTGTAATTGAACAAAACGTAAAAAAACAAAAACATAAAAAATTAATATAATGATAATAATTTAAATAAAAATATAAAAGAAAATAATAATTATATTTTTTATTTGTATTTTAAATAAAAAAAAGTAAAAAAAACTTATATATTAATTAATCTCTTTAAAAAAACATGATTAATAAAGTTTTATTTTTTTTAAAGAGATTAATTAATATATAATAAAGTTTTGATTGAATGATTGTTTTTTTTTAAGAGTTGAATGGTTCTTTTAAGAAACCTAAATAGATAAATACAGAAATAAATCAATAATGAATTAGTGATTGTAAATTTTGTTCCTGTGAAACAAAAGTTTTTGGAAAATTAGGAAGGGCAAAAAATTGATTCTCTCCCCTCTTTGTTTGAGATGAAATAAAAGTAAGAAAAGGCTTGCGGAAAGGCACCGCCTTCTTCCTCCATCTCAGGCACCTTCCATTTCCCTCTCATACTCAACCCCAACCCCAGATCCACTTTTTATCTTACAGATTTCAACAAAATTACATCAATCCGCCATGGATCTACATCAAGAAGAGCTCCAATTCCTCTCTGCTTCCGATATTCTCAAAGAATCAATCGCCATCCCCAAACAATCCCCTCAAACCTTTTACCTCATCACCCTAACCCTAATTTTCCCATTATCATTCGCTATTTTAGCTCATTCTCTCTTCACCCACCCTTTAATCACCCAAATCCAGGATCCATATGGCTCCCACACCTCCCAATGGACTAAACTCCTCGTCTTTCAATTTTGTTACCTCATCTTCCTCTTCGTTTTCTCCCTCCTTTCCACCGCCGCCGTCGTCTTCACCGTCGCCTCCTTGTACACCTCCAAACCCGTCTCCTTCTCCTACACAATGTCCGCGATCCCCTCCGTCTTCAAACGCCTCTTCATCACCTTCCTATGGGTGGGTCTCACCATGGTAGCTTACAACATTGTGTTTCTCGGGTTTATTGTTCTGTTGATCATCGCAATCGATACACAGAACTTGGTTTTGTTCTTCTTCTCTCTGATTATCGTCTTCCTGTTGTTCCTCGTTGTGCATGTCTACATCACTGCACTCTGGCACTTAGCAAGTGTGATTTCTGTTCTTGAGCCTGTTTATGGCTTCGCCGCCATGAAAAAGAGCTTCGAGATTCTCAAAGGAAGGGCTCGCATGGCGTCTGTTCTTGTTTTCGGGTATTTCGTCATATGTGGGGCGATTAATGGACTATTTGGATCAATTGTCGTCCATGGTGGGGAGTATTATTACGGGGTTTTCTCGAGGATCGTGGTCGGTGGATTCTTGGTCGGTGTTCTTGTGATTGTGAACCTGGTGGGATTACTGGTTCAGAGTGTGTTTTACTATGTGTGCAAGAGCTATCATCATCAAGAGATCGATAAGAATGCTTTGTATGATCATTTGGGTGGATATCTTGGAGAGTATGTGCCTCTTAAAAGCAGCATTCAGATGGAGAATTTGGAATAATAATGAATCAGTATCAGTAATTACACTGAATCTTTGTTTGTACTTGTTGTGTATCACCAACGAAAAAGGTTTGAGATTTTCTTTTTTGTAAATTTGGATACTTTGTTATCAGTATGACTTTTAATTTCAATCCTTTTTTTAACCCATCTTAAAAAACCTATCTGGAATAATCATTGGATATAGATTGGCCATTAAATTTGTCATTAATCTTGTTTTATGTTGGATTCCTGTTATATAATCAAATGCTTATTGATGAAAGCTCAATAAAACCCCTCAAATGCCCACTAAGATTACCTTAATTAATTGCGATATTTGTCTTGTGTTTGTTTGGGTATGTATGTATTAAGGTTTATGTAAGAATATGGATAGAAAGTGAGAATTGTAAAGAGCATTTATAAAGGTTTTCGAGTTATTTAATGACTTAATTTTTGTCTCATATCTCTGCAACTTTATTTTATATCTACCAAAATCTCCTTTATCAACTTTTTCAAAAACCTTTTACTTTTATCATATTAGATTGGGTTAATAGTAAGCAATTTGTTCTTCAGATCATTTATCTTTTAATTGTGTCAAATATGTCACTAAACTTTTTTTTCCAGTTCAATTGAGATAGATTTTAAATAATTATATGTGTCGTCCACCGGTGACACATAATTTGTTCATTTAGCCCTACTGATATTGCTTCTATTACGGCATCAGATAAAAATGCAATCTAATGGCATAATGACAACCTATAAAAAGTCCAGTGACATACTATTAAATATATTTATAAAAAACACATTATGTATTATTATAACCTTTAAGATTTTGAACATTGGGGATAGTTATGTATTTTTATTATATTTTGGGGTTGGTTTGGTTGTTTTACATTCTTTTATGCAAATCGTACAAATAATTTTAATGGCAGTGGGAGCATAGTGAATGAGCAGGTCAGCAGGTGTTCTACAACATTTGAGAAGCTAATTCCATGAAGATGCTTGTCGGGGTACACCTCTAGTTTATTGAATAGGATTAAAGGGGGAATCCGAAAATCCGATTTGATATCTTGTTTTTTCCGATTAAGATTGTAAATTTCAAAAAATTGGGATATTTTTTAAATTGGAATTCAAAAATACTAAATTATTAATTAAATGTATATATTTTGCTTTGCATTTGAACTGCACTTAAATTAGTTATCGGTCATTATGTTTCTTTCGTAATTACTTTGTATAAATTTACTGCACTTAAATTAGTTATTGGTCATTATGTTTCTTTCGTAATTACTTTGTATAAATTTATAGGTGTTTATGACTTCTTGCAGGATGTGGTCATATATATATTTCCTTTATTAAACATATATTAAATTGGTTCAGTGTTGTAATAAGATGAATAGATGGAGCTTTAACTTATTTACTATGGTTAAGATACTTTCTGAATTGTCTTTGTTTGGATATGTATGAATGTATCATGTGACATGTGCGGGATGTACATCCACTATTTGCTAGTTACGTGAATGAACACCAGAAAAATGATGAAAGGAATCAGGTGCTGCTTCAGCTTCAACTAAGGGAGGAATGAAATTAATGAATTTGTTGAGTGTTGACGACATTGAAACGGAAAAAATTCTTATTATATGGAGTAAAATACTAAAACCGTCTATGTGGTTTGGTACTTACGGTTTCTATTTATTTATTTATTTTTTTGCGCTTGGATAGATCTTGTTCAAAGTTTTAAAAACTGATTCCAACCGGACAAAAACCAGGTTGAACCGGGAACCAGAGAATAGAGAATAGAGCAGTTTAACTACAACCAGTTTTATATTTATTTTTGAACCGGAATGAACCAGCCGGTTTTTACAAAAACCAGATTGAACCGGTTAAATTGAATAAAAACACATGAAAAAAAACATTTTCATAATAAACTTGGTGGTCTGTTTCACATCTATTTATATTTTTCTAAATAAAAATATATGGTAAATATTATGAAGTATTTTGATGCATTTGTATTCATCTAAAAATATATTTTGTTTCGGTATTATACTTTATTTTTCTTTTTAATGTATTTGGTTTGATGTAAAACTTGTGGTTATGTGTTTTTAATGTATTTGGATTAATCCATGAACTTGTTTTTATATGTATTTTTAATGTTTGAACTTGTGGACGTCAAATTCTTTATTTATGTATGTATGTATGTATGTATATGCATGACAAAAAAAAAGATGAGAATTATAGAAACCGGTTGATCCGACGCTCGAACTGGTTAAACCGGGAACCGGTCACTATTTCAATTCAACTAAAAAACTGGTTTTTAAAACATTGGTTTTGTTGTGTTTTTCGTCCCTTATAAATATAAAAAAACAATGTTACATTGATTTATTTTATTTGTAATTTATTCTTTATTTATTACTATAATTCATTGTTTAGAAAAAATAAAAAAGGCTCTAACACACCACCTCCCTCTACCTATATTCCTCCCACCATCGAAAAACATCGGCCTGTGTCTCTCTTCTTCCTAAACCACCTCCTTCCGCCTCTCCTCCTCCCTCCTGAAGCACTTGAACCACATCTCTCCATTGAAATCGTTGCCTTCTCTGGTCAGGTTATCTTCTCCGTCGAAAAGCTATGGTCCGAATATAAAGAAAAATGTGTATTTTCTTTAACTAATAAATAATAAATATAAAAAAAGCAATATGTAAACGCAACAAAATCATAACATGAGAACGGTCCGAATGTAAAGAAAAGTAATAAAGGTACCAAATCCGCAATTTTAACCAAACTACCGGGACTATTTTAGTTTTTACTCGATTATATATGTTAATCCATATACAAATTATATTGCATGCTTTTCCAATTTTTAATACTTGAGTTTATATTTAGTTGGTTCTTGATATTAAAGATAATGAATTTAGGATATCCGTATTTAATATTCGTATATGAAAATTCAGATAAATATTCGAATACCCAAAATCTACTATCCGAATTTAACGTAACCAAATTTCGGATACCAGACAAATTCAAATATCCATTTTGAACACCCTATACATTGTTAGTATTTTAGATAATGTGTTTTGAAAACCATCATTTTGAAAATAATATAAAATTTTGATGATTGTGGGTATGTTTGACAGCAAAACTTTTACCTTTAGCTTATTTTATTTTTATATATATATAAAAATAATAAAAAAAAATATAATAAAACTTCAATTTTTTTTTTTGAGCTTTTAGCTTATGTTTTATGATATTTTATATCTTTCAAAAAAGTTCGGCTATTTATGCTTGCCATATACTTATACACAGGTAAAATAATTTTGTCATCTAACCATTAACCATGGGTTCAAAAAAAGAAAAATAGTTTTATCAAACATACACTATATGACTATATGATGTGATAGAGAGGTAGTAGAAACTATCTTTCACATCAACTAAGAATCAAATCAAATACAAGTTCATAAAATTATGCATTTTTAGAAAGATCATCCAACCAAAACTACTTTAACTTTTAATTCCATATCATTTATATACATCCAATACGATATCTATATATCATTTAATAGAATTTATCTGTTAGGATCATATAAGTTACTAATGAACGAAATTGATCCCAAAATCATAATATTATATTTAAATCAACCTTCATAGTTCCACTTATAGTAAATCGCAGAACATAACAAGTCAAAGGTAGACTAGACATACGAAACTAAAAGTGTAAAACAAATAATAAAAACCCAATCAATTACATGGATGTGACACTAAAGGGAGTTGCAGAATTTGACCTTAAAGTTTGCTCTTTGGAACACCAACAGGGGCATCTCTAGACCTCTTTTCTACGACCTTTGAAAGTTGTCTTACGGCCTCTTTTGGCAAATCTCGTGGCTTGCTCAGCCATATTCCACCATCAACCACCAATGTTGTCCCGTTTACATAATTACCTTCAAACATTCATTACCATACTTTTTCTCAATTTCACGCAAAATGCTAAAACTCATAATTCTATTGATACATTTTGTTTTTCTAGTAAAAGGGTTGTTTTATGTGTCAAACCCGTTCTCAAATAACTATTGACAAAACATCGAACACCTAGAGTGCATATGGCTAACTGACCTGCATTGGATGCAAGATAGAGAGCAGCCATGGCGATATCCCATTTCTTCCCCATCCTGTATAAAGCAGATGCTTCTTGTTTCTTGCGCCTGACATCCTCAGGTAAGAGCTTGGTAACACCAGCAGTGTCATCAATGGGACCTGGTGCAATCCCGTTAACTCTGATTCCATAATCAGTTCCCCATTCTAACGCCAGGCTCCTTGTAAGGCTATCTACAGCTGCCTGTTACAATGAAAAAACAAGATATCAAGATTAACAGGTTTGATCTTGCATTTCCGTAACAATTTAAGGGTAATTCACGAGACCTTAGCAGCAGAGACATGGATCTGATACCAACTTGCTGTATAATGCAAAGTTGCACTTATGTTTATGATTACTCCCCCTTTCTTCAGATACCTGAGAGCTTCATGACACATTGTGAATGTCCCAACTGCATCTATATCTATCACTGCAATCACCAGAAGTTTAAACTTTAAATAATGGTATATAAGTTACAGAAATCCGTAATTTTAGATCGTCTGATCTTAATCGTACCTGTTCGGAAACCATTAGGCGATAAATCCTCGGAAGGGACAAGAAAGTTTCCAGCCGCCGAATTTACGAGGATGTCAAGCTTGCCGAACTGCTTAATCGTTGTCTCTATAACTCGAGCAGCGTCCTCTTTATTCCGAACATCTCCTTCAACCCCAATAGCCTAAAACGAATAGTTGAAATTACGTTTCAGAATTTTAAAGTGAAGTCGAAGATACAGAGAGAGGAATAGGGTTTTACGTGAATGCCGAGGGATTGAAGAGCAGAAACCGCGGAATCAAGGACGTGTTTACGACGACCCATGATGGCGATGGAAGCTCCATGTTTACCCAATTCTGCAGCGATTTCAAATCCGATTCCAGATCCACCGCCGGTCAACAGCCCCACTTTCCCTTTCAGTATATCTCCCTTGAATGGGGACTCCATTGTTTCTTCGGAATGGTAGTTGAATTGGGATTGAAAGAATTGAATTTGATTGTGAATGGAGGAGTCACCATCGGAACAGTCGGTTGGCCGGCTGCTTCAGAAATATGCTTCTTTTCGATTCCCAATTTTGTTTTATATCGACGGGCATCGGAATTCAATGGAGATTCGATTTAGATCCTTCCCTCGCCAACATCTGGACAAGTAGCATCAAACTATCAGTTGTATATTTACGAACCGATCCAATTCCATCCGAATGCGGAACCAAAAAAACCAAATATAATAACCGAAAATAAAACCAAACCGATCCAAATCGATCCGAATGAAGAACCAAAAATAACAAAATATAATAACCGAAAACAAAACCGAACCGACCCAATTCGATCCGAATGCATAACCAAAAATAACAAAATATAATAACCGAAATACTGGTTCGATTCCGGTCCCGTTTGGGTTCCTAAACTGCAAAGAACCGAATTTATTAAGTACCGTGCTCTTTTTGCATTTTGAGGTGACATTTTCTTATTATCAACGGATTTAATTTACCATTCCAAATTACAATGAGATATCTATACAAAAACAAATTCTACAACCTTAATAACCTCTCTTTAGAGCTATGTAATAGAGTTACTTCTTAACCGATTCAACTATTTTTTGAGCCAAAATTGTAGCCAAAACAGAGGACTACAACCTGAGAAAAAAGATCGGGATTAAGCTAATCCTTGAGCTCGTGTGAAGGAGTTATGACCATTCATAGTTGAGCGAAAATTATAATCAATGCTGAAAAAAAAATATTGGGTAAATGTCATTGTAGCCCTATGAAGTTTCACCTTTTGGTTTAAATGGTCCCTTTCGTTTTTTTTTTCTTTTTTTTTTTTGGCATTTAAGGGGTACGTAGTGTAGTTTTACATATTATTAATACCATTCTATAGAAAGCGAAGGGGTCAGGCGGTTAACCCCATCCTAGTCAGGGGGTATGAAGGTCGGTCTTCATCAATAAATGACCTTTTGACCTACTTAACCCTTTTGTAAATGACATATTCACTCGTCAC